GCGCGCGCTAGCGTTCACAATTATGGGCTACCGGCATTCTAGGGTATTAGGGTTTAGAGTTTAGGGTTTCAGGATGGTTTTAGCTAGGGTCTAGGGATTCTACCCAGGAAGCCGGCAGCCCATAATTAAAGTTTCATATAACTTGGGGTTGAAGTAGTCCCTTCAACGCCCGAAACCCTAAACCCTAAATCTTTAACTGTTAACTCTAAACCCTAAGTCCTTAACGCTAAGCCCTATAAACCCTCAACTCCTAACCCTAACCCTTGACCCTAACCCTAAACGGTTTAAGCTGCAGGGTTCAAGGTCATGACGAGATAGTTTCCACCTATTTGAGGCAATTTCCAATGCTTGCTCAAACGACATGCGGCGCTTACTGGAAGACCTAGACCCTAAACCGAAAACCCCGAGCCCCAAAGCCTAAACCTCAAACCCCTACTCTTAACCCTACACCTCAGACCCTCCGCCTTTTTGGAGCCTACAGGCGTGCAGCTTAAAAAAAATATCTAATCGGAGCCCCAGGGCAGTGCTGTTCAGGATTTAGGGTTTAGGGGGCCCAGGGTTTAAGGTTTAGAGTTATTTGTCTGCGGTCCAAAAAGATTCTGGAAGCCCTACCCCAAAAGTTCCTCCATTTCGTTTCAACGGCCCTGTGCGGGCCTAAGTACTTGAAACTATCATGTCGGATTTAGGGTTTAGGGATATGACCCCCCCGCCTCGAAAGGTTATGAAAGGTCTATAGAGGGTATGCCATGTAGTCACCTTTTTTGAGGTAAGTTTGAGGCACCCTGTATTGTGATCAGCGTTATACTTGAAACCTAGGACCACACTATTGGTACTTACTTAGGCTTATAACCCTAAACCCTAAACCCTAAACCCTCAACCTTAAATCCTCAACCCACCATGGTCCTCCTGCTTTTCTCAATCTTTTGCATGCCTGCAAGATCAAACGTGCCTGCCACCCTCTGCACCCTTTTTTGGTGCTGATTGGTGGCCAGGCTTGCGAGCTTAGGGTTACCCTAGGGTTTAGGGTTTATAGGGTTTAGGGTTTAGGGCCCTAAACCCTAAACCCCTAGCCCTAAGTAGGTATTGCTTATGGGGTCTGGGGCCTAAGGTAGGCATTATTTAGCTACTTGGGGCCCAAGGGGTACAGAATCATAGCACCGCGTCATAGGCAGTGGAGCGGCCTAAGCATCTACAGGTTGGCAGGCGTCGTGGCAGCAGGCGCAAATCTGCGGTGCCAAACAGGCAGCAGTTCAGCAACAGCTGCAACAGAAGCCCCAACACCAAGCCCACACAAAATACCGGATTCCCCGTGATCAGAAAGCTCTCCGTCATGCCGGCCACAAGCCCAAACTGCACTGAAATGGCGCAGGCGAGAAAATAGCCTGGGCTGCTGTTCAGGGACTTCAGTTTCGGGTTCAGGGTTCAAGGTTTAAGCCACCATATTATGGATCTATAGTAAGTTATTGGGTGCCTCCTAAACCCTAACCCTAAACCCTAAATCCCTAAATCCTTACACCCTATACCCTAAAATACCCTAAACCCTAAACCCTTAACTTAAGCTCCCTAAGGACAACCCAGTGGCCCCCAGCAAAGAGCAACACATTGCGGAGGACTCCTGGCCCCGCAGCTAGGGTTTAGGGTTTAGGTTTTTTAGGGGTTTAGGGTTTAGGGTTTTCCTAGGGATCCAAGTATACAAATAATACCTACATTGGGCCCTAAAGTCCGTAAATATTACCTACATCTGGCTATTTGGATCCTGAGGGTTTCTGAGAGGTAAACTTGACCCCTCACCCTGGGGTCTGTAGGGTTTAGGGTTTAGGGTACCCTGGATTTCTTCAAGAATTCGCACGTAATGTTAACACGCCGCCCTGCTACCTTTTTTTTCTTCTTCTAGCAGTTTTCATTTCCGTGCTCCGTTCCCAAAATATCGGCAGAAGCTGGAATAATGGAACCCGAAAACCCAAACCCCATATATCCCTAAATATCCCTATTCACATTGCTATATAACCCCTACATTGAAAAATCCACTAAGCTACCACGAAACCCAACTTGCCATGTCATGCTCCAGTTTCTTCGCCGTTTGATTCTCCACCAGTGGTATAACATCCCTAAACCGTCAACCCTTAACCTTATACCTTGAATATCCCTTATAAATCCCCCGAATCCCTGTAATGGTAACCCCAACCCAAAAGCCTAAACCCCAAACCCTAATCCGCGACTTCCCAGGTCTCCAGGATCTGTGGCGGACACGGCGCAGGCCGTCAAGCGAAGCCTAGGTTTCTCTTCTCAATGCAGGGTCTGTTTAGGCTTTAGGGTTACGAAAGGCTTGGGTATGGAGTTTAGAGTTTAGGGTTTAGGGAAAGAAGGGAATAGACTGTACAGGGTGATGCTCTCTTAAAGCTCTTGTTCCGTACTAATCACGATCAAGTTTAAGATTCAAGTATAGCTGGATCTCATCAGGGGCTTAGGGTTTAGGATTTGAATAGGATTTAAGGCTTCACTTAACTGATCCCTTCTTGTCAAGTCTGTACTGTATGGAGTTCGAATGAGAACAACATGTAAATGCTCCTCAACTAGACCCCAGGTGCAGGCACGGGGGAAAGCAGGAGAAGATGAAAGTGGAAAAAATGGTGTCCACGTAGCATGCCGCAAAAAATAGCTCTCCGGAGACATACCCCAGCTTCTTGTGGAGTTGCCATGAGGCCCATATTTGCACAATGTTTGACAAAACGTTGGGCAAACTGAGCAGAAAACAATGGCTGAATGACAGTTGCGTTTCGACGCCCAAATCTGCAACCAGCATGTCCCGGAGCGAATACCGCACATAGTCGTTGAATTCGTCAAGGCACTGGTCGTGGTCAAGATAGCTTGTGACCGATCGCAAGGCTGATCTGGAGGATGTGGATTCCGCTATTTCATCTGTACCCTCTACAACCTCTACACAATCATCTGTTGCATCCACGGCCACGGCCAGGATTGGGTCCTCGAGTCCATCAAAGAGTTCGGCAACATGCTCCTCGATTTGGTGACGATCCCGCTCTATGGAACACTTCGCAGATCGAATGTTGTAGGACCTGCTGGTGGTTTCCGTAAGGTGGCTCGCTGTTGAGGGGTTTCGGGTTTTGTTGTGGAAGTGGGAGTTGTGTTGAGACACGGCCTGATGTCTCGCAGCATTGTTTCGTGAGCCAACAGCTTCTGCGGAAATGTCACAACACTTACCAAGAGGAATGAGATGGCGGCAAACACAGCAGCAACTGGGGAAGCAGCCAAGTACCTTACTGTAGGATACCAGGGAAGGAAGGAGTGCCATAGTGAGTCTTCGAAAAATTACCCAGAGAGTCCACATATACAACCATTAGGGAATTGGGACCCATAATTCCTTCTATAGTATGGTATTTGGGAGCCTAATTCCCTAATAGTTGTATATATGGACCCTCTGGGTTATATAAGGACGACCATACGTATCCATTCCCTTATGTCTTCAACACCTATGCACCAGCCAGGTACACAAGTGTGCGGCTGACTCCATAAGCAAGTGGGGCTTCCTGTGCCGCTCGGTCATAGCTCAAAGCGACCATGCCCAGATCCGGTTCGTTGCTCGCTATCATGACCTTGGTGGCCCAGCACCTATATTTCAAAAAAGTACACATTTCGTGGTTGTTCCATCTTATGAATGAACCCAGAGCCCTAAACCCTAAACCCTAAACCCCTAAACCCTAAACCCTAAACCCTAAAACCCTAAAACCCTAAAACCCTAAAACCCTAAAAGGGTACTACTGGGCTTCCTAGTGACAAAGGCAGATAGGCGCAGCGTAATGTAGGAGGAAAGCAGGCTCGCCAATAGCCATGGCGCCAACCTTGGTGATCTTGAAGGCTTTAGGGTTTAGGGTTTAGGTTTTAGGGTTTAGGGTTTTAGGGCTTACCCTAGCCTAAACACTAAAGGTATCCGAATATGGTAATGTAGGGGCCTAGACCCTAGAAATTATCCCCATACCGTAGGAACCTAAACCCTAAAAAATGTCCCAATCCACTAATGTAGAATCCTAAACTCTAAACCCTAATACCATTTGGCCCCAAGGAACCACAAAGGCACCACGCGAAGCTGGCTCAGGCCGCGGAATTTCACAAAGATCGAGAGCTCAAAAGCACACCACAATCGGTCAAAGTAGGTTTCACCTAACCTTAGGCGCCCTTACCCTTGGAAAAAAAGGTTTAGGGTTTAGGGGTTTCCCAAAATTACGGGGAACCTTTTGTAGGGTCCCAATAGTAGGGATTATAGTATATTGGGGTTCATATTGGGGTCCCCCGATTTTGGGAAACTACCAAAACGATTATGTCTTGTTGTTGTTATTGTTGCTGTTGTCGTTGCTGTCGTCGTCGTCGTCGTCGTCGTCGTTGTTGTTGTTGTTGTTGCTGTTGTTGTTGTTGTTGCTGTTGCTATTCTTGTAGTCGTTGTTGTCGTTGCTGCCATTGTTGTCATGAATGTTGTCATTGCGGTCATTGTCGGCGTCGTTGTTGTCGTTGTTGTCGTTGTCGTCGTTGTCGTCGTTCTTGCCGTCGCTGATGTTGCTGCTGATGTTGTTGCTACTGCTGCTGCTGCTGTTGTTGTTGCTGCTGCTACTGCAGTCGTTTCGCCGTATGAACATCATAATATATCAACCCAATATACTATAGTAGTTTCCAGCTTCTCTTCCGTTTTGCCTATATAACTCCACGTAAACCTAGTATCCCTCCAAATGTACAACAGGATCTCGACGGCCCTATCCGGACCCAGAAACACACCCTTCAACACATAGCTATGCAGTCGTGCGGCGGCGGTGTCCGGTGGCCGGTGGCCGGTGTTCGGTGTGTCCGGTGTCCGGTGTCCGGTGGCCGGTGTCCGGTGGCCGGCTGGAAAGCAGCAGAAAAAGTCTATAGTGCTAACATTACAGTAAGGGCAACATTTATTGCTGGTGAATGTTAGGAAAGAACCCAGAACCCGAAAAGGGTTAAGGGGTTCCCTAAACCCGACACCCTACACCGAAGGGATACCTCTTCCTAGCAACAATACCAGCATCTGCTCGGATCTTGCCACTATGGCAGGCAGCCTTACTGGGGGGATCAGGGTTTAACTGGTTTAGGGGTTTAGGGTGTAGGGGTTTAGGTTGGGTACGGCCCCCACCCAGTAACAGTCTATACTAGGGTCATATTAAGGGCTACATAACTACATTAGAATTATTATCTAACTGTTACTGGGGGGGGGGGAGCAGTACCCAAGGTTTAGGGATTTAGGACTTAGGGTGTAGGGTTGAACTTACTTCTGGTTCTCGACTTTTCTCTGGTTAGCAGGGAATCAAGCAATGGAAGATAAATTGGAAACTACTCTACCATTGAGAAAGGACATCTTGCACCAGTGGAGGTCCTTGAGTTATGGGGCGTAGGGTGGAGCAAGATTCTATTAAGACTCATAATAGTATATTCTTGAGGTTTATGACTCATAGCATTACTATGAGGATCCATTCCCCCGTTGAACGACTTAAACCCTATTTGGAGGCCTATGGGATTTAGTAACTACTTATAGCTGGGCTTATAACCCTACTTATAGTCCCCCTAAATGGACTTAAGGGGGTTATCCCAATTATAAGTAGGGTCATAATCTTACTTATAAATAGTTTGTATTTCCCATGGGCTTCCAAGTAAACCCTGAATAAGCTGTAACGGGCAGCTCCGAGATTCCCTGCATCTTTGTAGCTTGGTCAGTTTGGTCAATGCAGAGTCCTTGTGGGCTCAAGGGGCCCCAAAAGGTTTAGGCTTTAGGATCAGTTTGGTCAATGCATTGAAAGGGCTTAGGAACCATGCAGTTTGGTATAGTATTCATCCCTATATTATATAGCCCTACAAAAACCAATATAGGCTAGCTTTGATGTCATTTTGTATTTGACATCCGTTTGATGAAGAACGTAAACCCGTCTAACCCTCTTACCAAAAAGGGCCATAAAATAGCCCTAAACCCTAAACACTGAACACTAGATCCAAAACTCCAAACCCTGAACCGCGTGCATTAGTCCCAAGTGTCGGTCGACCCAGGTGAGGGGGCTCCACCACCAGGTCAAGTACTGTCCCCCAAAGAAGGTGATGAAGAAAACCATCATCGGCCCATCCAACATGATGAGGAACAATGTATTCCTGGAAAGCCAATTAAGGGTATCTCTTTAGGGGTCTATCGGTCTAATATCATGAGTCTTTTGGTGTCTATTTTGTCACCTATTTATGGAAACTACCACGTTATCCAATATCATGTGCTACTATACCCCCAAATGGACACACCTGCCAAACAAATTCTACTGGCGTTCAGGGTTCAGCGAGGGGTCAAAAGGCAGGAGCAGAAGCACTGCCACGTGGGACAGAACCACTGCAACAGCAAGGACCTTGAGGGCCAAGTTGTAGTTGAGAAAGAAACCTGACCCAGAGGGTTCATGTACTCAACAATGAGGTATTTGGGTTTTGGGTACTAGCAAGTATGCTATAAGTTTTGGGCAAGTATATAATTACAAGGTATTTGGACCTTTAGGGCCAGGTGTCCGGCATCCGTGGTTTTCCACAGCCGGCTAGCTTGTTTGGTTTATATGAGCTATAGTCTAAACTCCTCAAGGGGAGGTTCTACAGGGGACTATATAGGGGAGTGTTACAGGTGTTATTAAGGGGGATACGACGATTTAGGACTATAACTCATATTGGGACTCATAGTACTAAAGAAAGTTTGCAAGTGTACCTGACTGGACAGGCACGGAGCACATGCCCAAGTGCTTCTGCCAAGAGCCATCTGCCCATGAATGGCTCACGAAGACATCCTTACTCTTGGGCCTTAAACCCTAAACCCTCTTGGGTGTAGGATTTAGGGTTTGGGGTTTCGGGCCCCTTGGGATGGGCCCCTAATCCTAGCATCCTTATATACATATTTATTAGGGTCTAGGGTTCAAGGTTTAGGGTTTAGGGTTTAAGGTTTAGGGTGTAGCGTTTAGGGTTTAAGGTTAGGGTTTAGGGTTTAGGGTTTAGCCAATTATGTACTCCCTTCGTGCACAATGTAGTCTTGATACCCACTTGGGATTTGAACGTTGTTGTTGTTTGGCTCACTCCACATGGTTGCACGGCCATCACGAATGGGTTGAGCAATTCAAGAAAACCCTAAACCCTAAACCCGTAGCAACATGGCATCATAGTCGGCTTTCTGCCAACGGCTGAAACTGGGCATGAACGCTAATTACACCCGAGCCCCCTAAGCCCTGGACCCTAAGTCTCACTGAACCCTAAACCCTAAACCCTCACCCTAAACCCTAAACCCCTAAAACCCTAAACCCTAAACCCCTAAACCCCTAAAACCCTAAACCTCTAAAACCCTAAACCCAAAAACTTAAAACCTAAAGCCTCAACCCTAAGTCTCACTGACCAACAGCAGGCATCTGTGCGGGTGACTTCTTGCGTGCGAATGCGGGCTTCCGCTGCAAAATCTGCATCCTTGGCCCAGATGTTGCCTCAGGTTTGCATGGCACCAGCGCTTTAGGGGTTTAGGGTTTAGAGTTTAGGGTTTAAGGTTTAGGGTTTAGGGTTTTAGGGGTTTAGGGTTTGGAGTTTAGGGTTTAGTGTTTAGGGTTTTAGGGTTTAGGGAGCCTATGAACCCTAAACCCCGGAACCCTGAACCCAAAGTTCTAAACTCTGTGGCCAAAGCACCCAATCATTCGTGGTGTCACCCCATTTACATCGCTTTACATCATCTTACATACATGATAAAACCCAAGGGCCAACAGTAGGGGCCCACACATGCGCGGCCTAACGCAAAAAACCCTTGATTGATTCAAACCCCAAGCCCTGAACCCATAACCCTAAACCCCCAACCCTAAAACCCTAAACCCTAAACGCAAAATCCAAAACCCTGAAACCCCCAACCCTGAACCCCCAAAACCCTAAACACTAAAGCCTAAACCCTAAACTCCCAAAACCCTAAACCCTGAACCCTAAAACCCTAAACCCCCAAAACCCTAAACCCTAAAGCCCTAAACCCCCATAAAACCCTCAACCCTAAAACCCTAAACCCCCAAAACCATAAAGCCTGAACTCTAAAACCCTAAACCCTGTTGGAGTCAGGGTTTGGTAGACGCGAAAGGGATGCACGCGGTTCATGACTGGGGCACTGGGCATAAACTTTGGCTCGAATGAGGGCATAGGGTCTAAGGCTTAGTTAGGGTTTAGGGCTTTGTATATACTGGGTTTAAGGTTTAGGGCTTTCTATTTAGGGCCTAGGGTTACGGGTTTAGGGTTTGGGGCTGAATTATGGTTTAGGGCTTTCTATGATCGACGGGAGTTTGCGGACGCTTAGAAATCAACAATGACGACCAAATGGTATTGCACCAAAGAGAGCGAATGTTGCAAATTCGGGGACGCAACCCAGAAATAGTTTCAACGTTATCAAAGAATACCATACATGTTAGTTTTACTGGGATTCGCGACTGGCACCACAAACCCTTAAGCCTATAAACTCTGAAGACCCTCAAGCATCCCCCATTGTTAGCAGGCCAAGCGTTGGGTTCAGGGTTTGACTGCAACGAAGAAGCAAAGATGCTATCGATTACGGCTCCACAGCCCCAAAGGGTCCATGTAGCTATGCAGTATATAAATTATGTACTTGGGTTTTAAGGTAATTCAATGGGAACCCCTGAAGGCCCTAAGTATATACTATACAGCTACATGGACACTCTGGGAATAGGCTCCCCTAAAGATAAAAAAAAAAACATGTAGGTACCATATATAGACTTTAAGCCCAAAGTAGGAATTATCTATAGTCTTAGATGCTTGGGTTAATGTGGACCCATGATGAGTAAAC